GCTGGCATGGCCAAGGCATGCGGATGCCTTGCCTAATGACACCCCATGCCAAGGCTAAGATATAGGGGGTGTGCTTTGATAGAATTAATCAATGCAAATGAAGAGAAAAAAAGAATGTTTTATTCATAGAAAACCCAGTTTGTAATACACAGCATATATCTAGAAATAAACAAAATAAATCTTATATAGTAGGGCAACACAACATAAAGAAAATGCCTAAACTACCCTTAGTATTAATATTCTAACACTCCATCTCAAACTCATGATGTAGTAGAAAATATCAAGAGTTTGCCAAGAAGAAAGTGAAAACGTACTATGGTGTGAGATTTCGTAAAAAAATTCGCTATATGCATTGTGGAAGGAAAAAAGGGGAGCGTGATGGTGCCCTGCTGCAGATGATGGCGCACAAAGTAACAATCAATCTTAATATGCTTTGTGCACTCATTGAAGACCGAGTTATGAGCAAGCTGAATAGCATTAGTGTTGTCGTAGAACATAGGAGTAGGAGAAGATACCGAAATACCAAGATCAGCAAGGAGCCATCGTAACCAAACTATCTCAGCTGTAGTAGTTGTCATAGCACGATACTCAGCTTCAGCAGAAGAACGAGCAATAACAGTTTGTTTCATACTTTTCTAGGAAATAAGAGAATCCCCGAGAAACAAGAAGAAATCAGTGGTGGACTTGCGATCCATAGAGTCACCAGTCCAGTGAGCATCAGAGTAAGCCCTGAGTTCCATAGATGAAGAGTGAGAAAATAGTAAACTCTGATGTAGAGTACCACGGAGATACCAAAGAATGCAAAAAATAGCAGCCTAGTGAACGGTGGTGGGTGAAACAACAAATTGACTCACAATGTGAACAGCATAAGAGATATCCAGACGAGTGACTGTAAGATATACTAAACTCTCAACAATAGTGCGATATAGAATTGGATCAGACAAGAGAGTACCATCAGATGAAGACTAACGAACATTGAGTTCTAAAGGTGTTTCAACTGTCATATTATCTGATAAATAAGCTCGTTGAATAACATTTGAAACATACTTGGACTGAGAAATAAGATATCATTTAGGAGAGGAAGCAATTTCAATACCCAAGAAATATCTAAATTACTTCAAATCTTTCATCTCAAAATGATCCTACAACTGAATTTGCA